TTGATGTATGATGGAGCCTGATTATTAAGAGTTTTATGTGTGAGAAGGAGGATCTTAAAAATCTATTCTGAGTTTAAGGGTCAAAACTCCTTGGGAGTGCAACCTCCAGCAAAATAACAAGAACATCAGATTCCGTCTCATCATATGCAATGAGTGAAGAGGTAAATGTGTAACAGAAAAACATTTATTAATGCTGAAAGTTTTGCAACCATTTGTTATAAATCAGTAAATACATTCTGTCCTCACGGGCTTCCGTAGAAGGGCTGTAAATTAGCCTCAGGCTAGAAGCCTTATGTATGCTGCATCTGTTGCTTATGGTGATAATGTTTTGTTGTCCATGTAAAAATATAGGACACATACAAACAAATTTGGCATCCAATATGGCGTCGCCCAGAGACTTAGACCCGCTCCCATGTATTTTTGAGACGGTTTTTATCGTTATATGTAATGAAACCACCGATATTTTTAACATTTGTGCACCTTTTTATTCATTTACAACATTTCAAAGTATATTTCCAGAGATTAGTGGTAAAAACTACACATTGTCACTTTAAACTCCCTATTCAACCAAAAGTAACAGAGACACACTTTAAAAGTTTGAATGCTGTTTATCCCTCAAAAGATTAGTTAAAAATCGTTTTGAGGACATCACATGTGGCTTTTGTGTGAACAATGTGGAGACAACGGACAATAGACTTTGAATGCACAAAAACTCAAGTGTTTTGGAACAATTTTAGAGATTGGTTCTGGTCTATAGGGCCTTACATGGACAAGCACATCATACATTGGTGATCTTCTCAGTCTCTACACCTCCAGCAGGTCCCTGAGATCCAGTGACCAAGGCCTACTGGTTGTGCAGCACCAGGCTAAAGGTCAAAGGTGACAGATCATTTGCTGCTGAGGTCCTCAGACTCTGGAACTCTCTCCCCCTGAGCCTGAGATCAGTGGACTCAGTGGTCTCCTTTAAACTCAGCTGTTCAGACTGGTTTTGGTATGACCTTCTTCACCACTCTCTTTATTCTGCTCTCCCCACCTATTCCACCTTCCTCCGGATCCACTGATTTCCCTCTTTCCAGTTCACTCTCTCTCTTTCTTAACATTTTTAATCACAATTGTCTATTTTTGCTTAGTTTAAACATGTTTTCAATCATTTTTCTACATTTAAAATTTTTTGTTTTTGTGAAGCGCCTCGTGATTTTTATCTTAAGAGGCGTTATAGAAAAGATCATTTTCTTTCTTTCTTTCTTTCTTTCTTTCTTTCTTTCTTTCTTTCTTTCTTTCTTTCTTTCTTTCTTTCTTTCTTTTTTTTTCATTTTTCATACATAAACAAAGAATACTTAATTGAGCCTGAGGAACACCATGACACAGAAACTGGCCACGCCCTCATGGAAATAAAGCTCATCACAATCATTCAATAAAAGGGTCATTGAGAGCTTTACCACTCAGAAGGGCAAAACTCACACACACACGCGCGCGCGCATGCATGCACCCACGCACGCGCACACACACATGCACGCACGCACATGCGCGCGCGCACATACACATATACGCATGTGCATGCACACACACGCGCGCGCACACACACACATACGCACGCACACGTACACACACGCACGCATGCGCACGCACACACACACACATACGCACGCTCGCGCACACACACACGCACGCGCACACACACACACATACGCACGCACACGTACACACAGGCACACACACACAGCACAACACTCCAGAAATATGTAACAGAGTACATTTCAGACATTTTGTCTAAGTAGTGTGTTCTAACACGACTTTATGTGTGACCTGCTCATTATCTCTCACCAAACAGAATATTTACTAAGAAATCACATTGTAACCATAAACACATTGCTTGGTGTGAGTGTGTGTGTGTGTGTGTGTGTGACCTGCTCATCATTTTTCTTGTTCACTCAGATGTTGAAATAAAACGTGTTTGTTACTTGCCTCTTGCCTTGCCTGTTTACCTCTCACGCTCATGTTATTTATGTGCTGTTTAATGCAGTATTTACAACCCTGGTCCTCGGGGCACACTGCCTTGCATGTGTGGGGGCTTTCCCCACTTTAACACGCCCCATTCAGATGGTCTGAATGATGATGACCTCAATGGTCACAACAGCAATGGTCACACCTGGATTCATCAGTCTGTCCAATGATGTAAGGCAGGAAATAAAAGAGTGGCACTTAGGTCAGGATATAGTGGAGTTGTGCTCAAAGCTCAGGAAGCACAAGTTTGTTAAAAAATGAAACAGCACAGCCCCACCAAGAATGTTTTCACCCGCCGCCACTGGAGGTCTCCAGATCCTACGGCCCCATGTGGGCTGGCCCAGGTGGTCTCTCTTCTTTTGTTCATTTTGGCCAGCTCATCATTTCTCCTTCAAGGTTTTGTTTTATTTGTTGGTATATTCGGTGAGGCTGTTCAGAGGCTGGTTTTTGTCAAAAATACTCTTGAACTCAGACCCTGTGTCCAGTCCTCCTCCTTATGCTGCGATCCTACGAGCCGGGTCGTATCACAGTGAGAGAGTTGGTTCATGTCGTTTAGTTGTTCCATTGTAACGGCGTGCTTACGGCGGACAGTAATAGTTGGGAGTCCTTCAGTAAATTGATGGCTGTTAACGACCCTCATGTACTTCCCTTCAGCGTCTAGTCCACATGTGTCCGACACAAGGCCCGTGGGCCACATCTGGCGGGCCTTGTGCAGCGCCACGCCTGAGCCTATGTAGGGACAACACTGGTGACGCTCTGGTCATGTGTGTCTCTGAACTATGAATCATCTCCATTGTGTCGTGTGTCCTTCCTTCATAACCAGCAGCTAAGCCATCAGTTTTCCCATCCATATGCAACTCTCAACACACAGGGACCTCACAGCCCATATCAGAGGGCCTGGTACCCCCCTATCTTCCAGAACCCTGCTTAGGGTGCAGAGCTGACTACCACCCTGGTCTGCCAAACCAGCGGAACCACCCCAGATGTCCACGAAATAATGCAGCGCCACATCATCTTAACAGCCCCACAACATCCAGTGCCTTAAGGAACTCTGGGCAAATCTGGTCCACCCCCAGGGCCCTGCCACAAAGGAGCCTTTGACCACCTTGGTGACCTCAGCATCAGTGACTGGAGAGAGATTTCTTCTTTAGTGGAAGATGTGCTGGCGGAATATTGGAGGTCCTCCGACTACTCCGCCCATAACGAAGGAAGGACCAGACGAAACACTCACTACTTTGTGGGTACATTCTACTTCAGATATCCTTAAGGCCCTAACAGGAGACCGTTTGCTTGATGGCACCTGCAGACAGGCTCTCAGTTCTGCATCTAACAATGGATGTATCCAAATCTTGGGTTAGGGTTGGTTAAAGTCTCCACCTACTATTATTTTTGAAGTGTTTGATTCCAAAAGAAGCTGCAACAAATGTAGAAAGAATGCAGGTTTGTCTGTGCTGGGAGCATAACTCAGTGGTGCGTGACCCTGTAAACCTCTACCCTCCTTGTCTGTTACTTCTCTGTCAGTGAACGTAACTGCTTCATGAATGAAACAGACATGTTTCAGGGCTAGAGACGATCTTACCAGAGGATTCCAGATGACTCCTTGGGTTTCCTGAATGACTGTGTCACATCAACTGTGGACGACTTTAAATGTGATCTTATGTTATTTATTTAAAATGCAGTCTTCTATCCTTATAGTGAAAATTAAACTTAGCGCACCAATTTGCACGTTTGAGGGAGTGGTCTAACAAGGAAATAAACAGAACTACAAATGCAAGAAACTAAAATACGAAACAAGCTCAGCAAACCCCCAGCCCCATGAAGGTAGACCGTCCTGTTGGGTGGCCTCCAGCACCTGCTTTAGCAACCCAACACGCAACTACCATTGGACAGACTTCAGTCAGCGGCCCCTGCACCAAACACTTGTTAGTAATTTCATATAGAAGAGTGACCGCCCATGAAAAATCTGTTGTCCGAGTAGTGCAAGAAGAGCCCCCCCCCGAGAAACACATTCCTCACTAGTTCCTCTGCATCAGGTGAAGAAGACCTGTGCCTCACTCGCAGGAAGACTCAGCGAACTCTACTCCTCCTCCTCTCAACTCCAACTTAGTTTCTCTAATTTGCTAAAACACTAAACTCTGAATCCTAAACTCATTTTTCTAATCAAACACAGTTTTGGCCAAACCTGTTCAGGTTGTTAGAAACAATCAGCTAAACCCAGCCACGCTTCTCTAAACGTCAGACACACTTCCAGCCACTAAACACGTCTCACACGCGTGCAGCTAAACTAACTTTGGCAGCAACAAGTAAAACACAGCTGTCCTCTTCTACACGCAGAACCATCGCTCTCCCTCCTGGGAAGAATTTAATATCCACACAATGTCCGTTCTGGACAGGAGGAATGTAACTGTGGATAGGAGGCGCTATAAACCCAATACACATGAACAGGACATGTGGCGTCATTTGGACATTTGGAATGTTAATTTGTGATCCACCCCTTTTCCTCGGTGTCACGCTGAAGCCCGTCCTTCTCCTGGTAATGGAGCAGGTTAACAATAACAGGCCGTGGTCGTGCTCCCTCACCCCAGCCACGTCCGGGCTCACCAGTGGGGATGTGATGCGCCCGCTGCATTTCCACTGTGAGACGCCCCAGGGTCATTAGCACCATCACAGGGAGCTTGATCCTTCAGGCATCGTACGGATCGTACAGCTACACTCTAGATTTATTCAGTGGCTTTGTAACAGCTTCATGTCTTTGACTGGCGGCCGACTGCTGCTCATTTAGAAACACGATATTTAACATATAAAAATCTATCAAAGTGCTGTTCATACTACTGTTGTAACTATTTTTGGTAAACAGGCCGCAGAGCATTTGTCCAAGCTGAAATCTTTGTGGGGAAACCACGTGACACCCCGTGCCGTGTGTTCACCCACATGGTTACTGGTTTGTGGCGAATGAGAGAAACTAGTTACGGTATCCTTGTGCTGGTTTGTTTCAGGATCAATGGCCATCCGGGACAGTACGTGCGTATTGCTGGTTTCCGGCTGGAGGAGGTAAGCCGTCGCACTCCAGTTTCAGACGGTCCTACTATAGCTGCTCTGCAGCCTTTAAGCTAGGCTGTGTTTGATTTCCAGTGCGATCCTAGTGGCTGCTTGACGGACCTCTTCATCCAGATGGCGGTGATCATGCTGCTCAAACAGACTCTCAACAACATTGTTGAGTTCACTGGACCGTGAGTGTGCTGATTCGTTTGATTGTTGCCATCAAGACTTTATAAAAATCAGTGTCCTTGTGTTTGATTTTCTGATTGCATCTGCTGCAGCTGGGTAAAGAGCCTTTTGAGCAAAAAAGCTGAAAAGCGGATGAAGAGGAAGTGCGGTCACTGTTACAGAAAAGCCTGCCGTGTTGAGCCTTGTGACATCTGCAAACTTCAGGACTGGCTGCGGAACTACCACCTGTGCCGCTCAGATGCCTTCAGCCTGTTTGAAGAGTTCCTGGAGATGGGTAGGCTCTGTGCTGAAATGCCAACACGTCGGTGCTTGGATGTAGCGGTATAGCTTACCTTTCTCTTTGCCCTTCAGTGATCCAGTTCAGTTTCACCACCATATTTGTGGCAGCCTTCCCACTAGCTCCCCTGCTGGCTCTCATCAACAACATCTTTGAGATCCGCCTGGATGCCATCAAGATGACCCGCTTGGAGCAGCGCCTTGTTCCCAGGAAGACCAATGACATTGGTGGGCACACCTATGCTCCTGTTAACCTAAAAAAAGGCGTGCAGAACTGGATGGCTAATTTTCAGAAACCCCTTCAAGCCATGTGCATTTACTGAAAAGCTGTGGCGCAGCAGGTGAATGAATGTGTAATTGATTGGTTGTGTGTCGGCAGGTGTGTGGACCAAAGTGTTGGAGGCCGTTGGTGTATTGGCAGTGATCACGAATGGACTGGTCATTGGGATCACATCAGACTTCATTCCTCGGCTTGTGTATCGGTACCATTACGGACCATGTGCTGGTGGATCTACCAACACACAGTCAGTCTTGTCTCTCGCTCATTAGTACACCAGGGCGGGTGTTCCAGAACAAACTCTTACTTTAGCCTGACTCTTCAGTTCCAGAGCAGCTCGTTTCAGTCTCCACGCGCTTTAGGAGTGGGCATGAGTAGAACATCAACAGGGTTCTGGTACCTTTAGCTACAGGTGAAACCTGGAAAACTAGACTCCGGTGCAAAAGTTCATATATGCCACTAATCCAGACTGAGGCCTAGTCCACACGTAGCCGGGGTTTTTTAAAAACGAATATCCGCCCCTCCAAAAACTTGCATCCACACCACCTCGTTTTAAAAACAAACTCTGTCCACACGTACCCGGATAAATACGTTGTTAAGGACATGCCAGACCTGTAGGCGGCAGTACTTCCCCCGTTCTTAACCTTGTCCTTCGTCTGTGGTCTTCCGCAAGGAGCAGTAATTCCGCTTGCAAAAACAAACAAGCAAAAAGCGCTTGGACAGTTGATGGATCGGGTAGTGACAGAGCGCAGCTCTGAGAGCATCCATGCTGTCGGCTAGTGTAAACACAGGTCGCACACGTGATGTCAGCATTTTTTTGTCGCGGAAAGTGACGTTGCGGACCTTAAAATTCCGGTTTTGTCTGTCCACACGCAGACACCCAAAATGGAGAAAACGCAGATCTTCACTTTGGCCCGAGTTTTTAAAAAGATCCGTTTTCGTGTGAAAAAACTCCGTTTTCGTGTGGATGACAGGCCAAAAAGTGGGAAAATATCTACGTTTTGGCAGATCCCCGGCTACGTGTGGACAGGGCCCTGAGAGACCATCTAAAGGCTCAGGAACCCTTTGGTGGTGTTTTGGATTCATTAGCTGATTACGGTGTGGAATGATTCTGCTTTGATAACAGTTGGGCTGTTTAAAACTGGACAGGTAGGTGGGAGGGGATGGGTAGGACCCCAGAGTCTGTTGCCATGGTGACAGAATCTGAGATTCACATGCATCTGTTTCTGAAACAGAAAACAGAGTTTACACAAGCTCAGGCTCAGACTTCTCATTTAACCTGGGGTGTCCCTCTGTGGGCCGGCTGGACAGTGTCCTCAAGTAGTTTTGTCCTCTTTGCAGCTGCATGGAAGGCTACATCAACGACACTCTGTCCACGGCCTATATGATTAACAATGACACCAAAACGTTCATACACTCAAAGCAAAGACATCTCTTTAACGTCACTGAATGCAGGTGAGAACATTAAGCAGGTTTTTATTTGTACAAACGTAAAAAACGCCTTTTCAGGTGGAGTAAATGAGACAAACGCTGTGTTGTTTACAGCTACAGAGACTACAGGAACGAGGACAATGAGCTGAGCCACAAGTTCTGGCTGGTCTTGGCGGCACGCTTTGCCTTTGTCATCCTCTTTGAGGTTTGCTCCAGAGATGTAGCAGAGAATATTTAAACAGAAATCTGGTTTAATGTGTGTTATTCCTGCAGCACGTTGTGGTGGTGTGCAAGTTCATAGCAGCCTGGTTTGTCCACGACAATCCCATTCACGTAAAGAACAGTCGTCAGACAAATAAAATGTCTCGTCTCAAGAAAGAGTTAAGGTGAGTCAACCTGTTCCTTAACCCGGGGTCCAACCTGGGCGTCCACGGATTTGTTCTGATTGCATTATTAGGTTGTTTTTCAACAGGAAAGGGTTGTTTTACCTGTTTTTCTGGTAGTTTCGACCGTCTTCTTCAGAGCTAGCCACTAATGGCGGCGCCACTACCTTCTCCCTCTGCTGCCCGCGGTGATGGACAAAGAAAAATAGAAACAACAGTTGGAACAGATGCTAGAAAACAAAAATACACAAAACACTAAAAAAGATCCAACAGAACACATTAAGAAAAACATGAAAAAAATGACTGAAACCACTACAAAAAAATGCTGAACAACAGAAAAAGTACAAACACTGGATTCCTACAGCGGTCGTAATGCCAAGAATCTACGGAACCCCAAAAATACGCAAATAGAACACCCCGCTCAGACCAACAGTAGACAGCATGGACACACCAACCTGCAGTTTGCCAAAAGAAATCAGCTAAATCATCAGCTCATTGTTAGGCTGAAACAGCACAGAGCTGGCTAAAAAACTAAAACAGATTATAATAGACAACAACGACAAACTAATCATGACGTTCCATCCCTGTTCGCTAGCACCAACCCAGAAAACCACTGATGTAGTAGTAAACAGAGTCAGGCAGGACAAATGTTACACAAAAGAACAAGCCTCACAGCAGAAGACATAGCACAGCTGACACAACTGGTATCAAACTCCACATACGTCACATATGATGGAGCAATATGCAAACACATGGGTAGCCCGTTATCAGCCACCCTTTGGGAGCTTTTCATGGAGTATCTAAATAAAAAGCCATAGCTAGCCACTTACCAGTGACAGTCCCAATGGATCATGCACTGGGACTGTGTCATCGGCAAGGAGAGCGCGGGCAGCAGGGGGCGACACCGTCCACTTCTGCCCGCGGTTAAACGGAGAAGAAAGTTACAGCGCCATTAGCGGCTAGCTCTGAAGAAGTCCGCAGGAGTGGTCAAAGCTGTCAGGGAATAATGCAATCTTTTGATTTCTTTCCAAGAGGAATGGCTAACAATCGCACTGGTTCAGTGTTCTGTTAGGTGGCCCACCCCCGCCCCCCAGCCCCGGGCTGAAGAAGTTGGCACCTCCCCGTTGACCACAGTTGTGTATCTGGTAGTTGTCAATAAACAGAGCTAAATAGCAACAAATTCTAATCTATCAGCATGATGAACACTCATAGATCTACAGGCAATGTAGGCCAACTCTAGAGGATAAACCACATGGTGGCAGGCAAAGTCTCCTGGCAGAATAAAAAAGCCCCACATGTCCAGAAACAAGTTAAAGCCATCTAAGGAAAACATGGGTTTACTGTTTCTAGCTAAAGGCTGCAATTTAACAAAGAGTGAAAAATTGACGGGGGTCTGAATCCTTTCTGTACCAACAGTGTGTGTGTGTGTGTGTGTGTGTGTGTGTGTGTGTGTGTGTGTGTTCATGTGTGTGTGTATTCATGTGTGGGTGTTCAAGTGTATGACTACATTAGCGTTAATGTGTGTGTGTGTGTGTGTGTGTGTGTGTGTGTGTGTGTGTGTGTATTCATGTGTGGGTGTTCAAGTGTATGACTACATTAGCGTTAATGTGTGTGTGTGTGTGTGTGTGTGTGTGTGTGTGTGTGTGTGCACATGTGTGCATGTTCATATGTGTGTGTTCATGTGTGTGCATTCATGTGTGTGTGCTCAAGTGTATGACTGCATTAGTGTTAATGTGTGTGTGCGTGTGTGTGCATGTGTTTGACTACGTTAGCGTTAATGTGTGTGTGCCTATGTGCATTCATGCACGTGTGTGTGTGTGTGTGTGTGTGTGTGTGTGCCTATGTGCTTTCATGCACGTGTGTGTGTGTGTGCCTATGTGCTTTCATGCACGTGTGTGTGTGTGTGTGTTTGTGTGCCTATGTGCTTTCATGCACGTGTGTGTGTGTGAGCCTGTTCCTTCTGTTTTGTGTGTTTAGTCTGTAGAATTTGACTTTATAATGTAACATAAACTTTGTGCGTGCTAAACATGTTTAAATTAGCATCATCTCACCCTCATTTTGCTTCTTTTTCTATTCTTCAGGTTGAAGAAACGTAACAAATCAACAGAAGTGTGATTTCTACAAAGCTGACCTCAGATCTGCTGTCCTGAGTTCGCTCTGGTCCAGGTGTTGTTGGACCAGGGTAAGAATTAACAACTGCTGTTCAAACACACAAGGGACCACGTTAGAATATTACTGTATTAGATGCCAGCATAAGATTTCATGTTTTTATGTTTGGATGTAAAATTATGTTTTATTTGTTGTTTAATTGTTTAAAACATGTGATTTAATGAGGTGTTTTCCTGTTTGGGTCAGAGGAAGGAGCAGACCTGCATTGTTACAGAATCCACATGGAAGCCAGCGGGACATCAGGTGGTTTCAAAAGCCACACACGATCATTATTAGGGTTTATTATTAGAAAGGATACAAACTCCTCTGCTCCTTGTTCTAAACCCAAGCTGGTCTCATTTCAGATTTATGTTGATATCTGAAGAATAAAAGCTGTGTGAAACACGAGAATAACAGTCTTCCTGCGTCTTTTTTATTTTTTATTTTTTTATTTTTTTCCGGAACTGCTCTGCTCTGGGTGGCTGCATGTTGGGGTAGCTCTGTTGACTATATGTAAGTTTTGCCTTTTCTTGGACATTTTTTCTTCTGGTTTCTCGAGAGGAACAGTATTTTTTTGGACATTTTACTTTTCTGTTTCTGGTGCTGTGAAGCTTTTTAGGATTTTTCCTGCTATTTTTTCATTTTTTTTTTCACTTTTTGAGCATTTGTTATGATGCGTAACCATGGCCACAAGCTGGTTTACAATCGGGAGCAGCTGATTAACACTGGGAAGGCTGAAATAATACCTCAACTGAAGCCACAAATCCCAAATGAGCTAAAACGCAAGAAGCGTGGGTGCAGAGCGGGAGCAAAACGGAGACAGAGAAAGAGGAAATTCAAACCATCTCTTCCATCGATCACAATGGGCAATGTGAGATCACTGGCCAACAAGATGGATGAACTCCAAGCCCTTTCAAGGACTCAGCCAGAGTATCGGCAGTGTAGTGTTATGCGTTTCAGTGAGACGTGGCTGCAGGACCATATCCCCGATTCCAGCGTCTCTCTGCCAGGATTCCTGACTGTACGAGCAGACCGAGATCTGAAGAGGAGCGGGAAAAGAAAAGGAGGTGGAGTGGCAGTGATTGTCAACAACAGATGGTGCCATCCATGTCATGTTTCAGTAAAATGTCATTTCTGCAGCCCAGATGTTGAACTCTTGGCAGTAAATTGTCGTCCATATTATTTGCCAAGAGAGTTCACCAGTGTTGTCTTGGCAACTGTTTATATTCCACCATCAGCCATTGCTGAAAATGCATGTGATGCCATCAGTTCCATTGTCGCTAAGCTACAAACCCAGCATCCCAATGCATTTGTGGCTATATCTGGTGACTTTAATCATGCCTCGCTCTCTGCTACACTTCCAACATTTCAACAGTTTGTCAGCTGCTCCACCAGAGAAAACAAGACATTGGATTTGTGTTATACAAATGTAAAGAATGCATACATGTCCAAAACAAGACCTCCTCTGGGACAATCAGATCACAATCTTGTTTTTCTCTGCTCAGAATACAAACCACTTGTTCAGAGGCAACCTGTGATAAGAAGAACTGTGAGAAAATGGTCACAGGACGCTGAAGAAGCCCTGCAGAGTTGTTTTGAGGCCACAGATTGGATGACTCTCTGCCAAGGATAGGAAGAGGACATCAATGACATGACTGGATGTGTCACTGACTATATTAACTTCTGTGTGGACATTATCATATCCACCAGAACAGTGAGATGCTTCGCTAATAACAAACCCTCACCAGTGAACTGAAGAATCTGCCAAATGAGAAAAAAGAGCCTTCAAGGAGGGAGACAGGGAATTATTGAGGAGTATACAGAAGCAACTGAAGATCAAGATCAGAGACAGCAAGGAGGCATACAGGAAGAAGCTGAAGAATAAACTACACAGGAACAATATCAGAGATGTCTGGTCAGGGATGAAGAAGATCACAGGCTTCAAGCAGAGGAAGGATTGCACAGATGGCAGCCTGGACACAGCCAATGAACAATGAACTGAACAAGTTCTTCAAGAGGTTCAGTTCAGGAACAAACCCAGCATCCTACTCGCCTGTCCCCAGCCAATCAGACATCCCATCCTCCTCTGATCCAACATTTTCATGTCACACGCCAGCTCTTTTGTCCTCTGGCGCAGTCATGGACTCTTCTGGTTCTATAAATCTGTCTTCAACCAAGTCAGGAGATGCTGCTGCCCCATTTACCTCCCCCTCCCACCTATCTGTCTGTAGAGGTCAGGTGAAGAGGCAGCTGGAGAGACTGAACAGGAACAAGGCTGCAGGTCCAGATGGTGTCAGCCCCAGGGTACTGAAGGCCTGTGCAGAGCAGCTCTGTGGGATTCTGCAGCACCTCTTCAACCTCAGCCTGGCCCAGGAGAAGGTTCCAGTCCTGTGGAAGGCATCCTGCCTTGTTCCAGTTCCAAAGAAAACTCGCCCATCAGTCAATGATGACTACAGACCGGTTGCCCTCACATCCCACATCATGAAGGTCCTGGAGAGACTCCTGTTGGTCCACCTGAATAAGCCAACTAGAACATGTCAGGACCCGCTGCAGTTTGCTTATCGCCATGGAGTTGGAGTTGAAGATGCCATCATCCAGCTGCCTCAACCAATCCACTGTCATCTGGACAAAGCAGGCATCACTGTCAGGGTCATGTTCTTTGATTTCTCCAGTGCATTTAACACAATCCAGCCTGATGTACTTTGCCAGAATCTCCAGAAGACACAGGTGGGGGCCTCGACTATCGCCTGGATTAAAGACTACCTGACAAACACAGTTTGTGAGGCTGAAAAACTGCACATCAAACCAAGCGATCAGTAACATTGGAGCACCACAGGGCACTGTACTCTCACCATTCCTTTTCACCCTGTACACCTCAGACTTCCAGTACAAATCAGAGACCTGTCATCTACAGAAATACTCAGATGACTCTGCAGTTGTCGGGTGTATCAGAGACGGACAGGAAGCTGAGTACAGAGAGCTGGTAGAGCGCTTTGTGGCATAGTGTGGAAACAATCATCTAACCTTGAATGTGAACAAAACAAAGGAGATGATTTTAGACTTCAGAAGAAACAGGGTGGAGTCAAACACAGTTTCGATCATGGGAGAAGAAGTGGAGGTGGTTGAGGAATACAAATACCTTGGAGTTCACCTGGACAACAGACTGGACTGGAGAAAGAACAGCCAAGCTGTTTACAAGAAGGGACACAGCAGACTGCACTTCTTGAGGACGCTTAGGTCCTTCAATGTCTGTAGCAAGATACTGCAGATCTTCTACAAGTCTGTTGTTGAGAGTGTAATCTCTTCAGCCATCGTCTGTTGGGGTAGTAGCATCAGAAGCAGGGACCTGAAATGGCTCAACAGCCTAATAAAAAAGGCTGGTTCTGTTCTGGGGACGACTGTGGAACCACTGGAGGAGATAATGCAAAGAAGGATTCTCCAGAGAATCAAGAAAATTATGGACAACCCTGAGCATTCTCTTCACAAGACTGTCCGACAACGGAAGAGTGTCTTCAGTCAGAGGCTACTGGAGATCCTTCCTTCCAACAGCCATTGTAATATACAATATCTCTTTGACGACTTGATTATTATTATTATTCTGAGCTACTACAGCAATCAATTTCCCTCTGGGATTAATAAAGTATTTTTGAATTGAACTGAATTTGAATTGACTAACCTGTTTTTATAACAAATTCCTGCTGGGCGTGGCCCAACAGGGCTGCTGGTCTTCAAAGGCCATTCCACTAGCCTCTAGCACATCAGTCCTATTGGACAGTCAGTAAAAGCTTTTTCTCCAAAAAGAGGCTGTTTATGGGTAGGGCAGTGTTTATATGCTTTGAAACAGAACCTCAAACATTCATTTACAGAACTGTTGGTTGGAGCACATCAGAACTCCCTCTGGATGGAGCGGATCCTCGTCAGCTCCTAAAGTCATGATAAGAGTTTACAGAAGCTCAGCTGGTTCTGTTAAAAAACATAAATCCACCTCATGGTCCAAGAGCTTGTAGAACCTCCTACAACAGATGATTGGTTCTTCTTCAGCACTCTGCAATGTGAGCCAGGTGCTGGTCTGGACTGGACCAGTTCAGAACCCTGACTTCTTTCATTTTCAGTTCTGCTGTGTTTGGATAGTGGTTCTGTTTCATGACCTAATTCATTCTAAGCTTCAGCTTTCAGATGGACTCACGTTAGACTCCAGAAACCAGTGGATGAGCTCATGGTGGACCCAGCAAGTCCTGTATCTGCAGGACCAGCCACCACCACCGCCGTGTCGACAGATGTTTGTCCTCCTGTTTGGTGATGTGCGATACCGCCGACTTCCTTTCCGATCAGATACCAAGTAAAAGTATCCCCTCCCTGGATATCCTCCACCACGCTACGTCTGTAAGTCCTCCTACCAAACACATCCTCTACCGTACTATATTATCAAGGACTCACCTCTGCTTCCCTCCCCTCAGACGCTGCTCCCGTTTACCCATTCGCTGGATTTCCAGTTCACCCTGAGTTCTAGTTATCCAATAAATCTTTATTTTTTCACATCCTGCTCCAGTGTATTGATTCTGCATGTCTTGGGTTAAATAATTACCTCAGAACATACTTGTCCTGCTTGTCCCGGTGCATCTGTCCCGGTGCATCGTCACAGACGTGCTTTTCCCGGTGAATCACCACAGACGCGCTTGTCCCGGTGCATCACCACAGACGCACTTGTCCCGGTGCATCGCCAGAGACGCGCTTGTCCCGGTGCATCGCTACAGACGCGCTTGTCCCGGTGCATCGCTACAGACGCGCTTGTCCCGGTGCATCGCCAGAGACGCGCTTGTCCCGGTGCATCACCACAGACGCACTTGTCCCGGTGCATCGCCAGAGACGCGCTTGTCCCGGTGCATCGCCACAGACGCGCTTGTCCCGGTGCATCGCCACAGACGCGCTTGTCCCGGTGCATCGCTACAGACGCGCATGTCCCGGTGCATCACCACAGATGCGCTTGTCCCGGTAAATCGCTACAGACGCGCATGTCCCGGTGCATCGCTACAGACGCGCTTGTCCCGGTGCATCGCCAGAGACGCGCTTGTCCCGGTGCATCACCACAGACGCACTTGTCCCGGTGCATCGCCAGAGACGCGCTTGTCCCGGTGCATCGCCACAGACGCGCTTGTCCCGGTGCATCGCCACAGACGCGCTTGTCCCGGTGCATCGCTAAAGACGCGCTTGTCCCGGTGCATCGCCAGAGACGCGCTTGTCCCGGTGCATCACCACAGACGCACTTGTCCCGGTGCATCGCCAGAGACGCGCTTGTCCCGGTGCATCGCCACAGACGCTCTTGTCCCGGTGCATCGCCACAGACGCGCTTGTCCCAGTGCATCGCTACAGACGCGCATGTCCCGGTGCATCACCACAGATGCGCTTGT